AAAATTGTAATACTAAACAACGTTTCTTCTTCTGTGATTTCAGCAGAACACCCATGGTAGTTTATGAAAAATACACAATCAAATGCTTTTTTTTAAACAAAAGCCACAATATATGCCTCTACATTTTGTTCACAAGTGACGGTACAGTTTACAAGTATTTCAAAATAGATTCCGTTCCCAGGAAGCAGTAGAAGTGAACCTTAAGATTGTGCTTTAACAGAAACGGCTATTTTTTGCGTTATAAGTATAAGCACTGGCCCTCCTGCCAGAATATCACTTTTCTCATACTAGGATTAGGGGTACCAGGAGTACTATTTGTTAATCTGTTGAGAAATTAGGGGCCCGTATTGTTATCATTATTTAGATACGCTTAATGTAGGTCAGAATGCTGTCCCTGAAGGCAAACAGGAAAATTCAAAAGAAGATTTGAATTATTTTTATGAATTCATTTTAAGAGTTCTTTCACACAGTCAGCTCAAATGAAACTGAATAATTCTGTAGTTTAAGAGAATAACTTTGATCCAGTCTGGGCTTCTGTCCAAAGCAGAAATGAGCAAGAATGGCAATATATTCTGACTTACTTAAAACAGGCCCAATTCATCTGAGGTCATTGAAATATCTTCTGGATGAATGATCTTTGGAGGCTGTATTCAAAACTATGCAAGGGTATTTCATATCTTACAATGCTTAATCTGGAATGATTGTGGTAGTATGAAGAAAGGCAGTGAATTCAGGGAAAAAAACAACCCTTCTTAGATACCATTTTGTGTACTTTTTCAACATGGAAAATTTGGCTTCAGTAGAGATATATCTGAAATCCTCTATGGGACAGAAGACACATTTGAAAAAGAATGGATAATGACTAAAACGTCTACGTCCATACCACATTTCTCTGCTGTAAAAAAAGTTGTTTTTCTAACACACACACACACACACACACACACATCAAAGTTCTAATAAAAGTGTTTGTGTGTTGTGCAGTTATTTACAATTGAATTAAAGTTGGATCTTAGAAGCAGTCTAGAAAATAAAACCTAATAATCAGTGTATCCTGCTTGCCATGTATCCAGATAACTTGGCATATTTCTTGATCTTTGACAAATTATTCTCACAGAAAAGCACATACTACAAACAACTTGGCAAACTATAGAATAATAGCTGGGATAATAAGGGAGATGGAGAGTAGCATGAAGGTCAGATGAGTGAGGGAACTTGCATTACATTTTATAATTGAAATCAACAGACAGCTGTATTCAAAGAGATCTGTGGCTCTGTGTTGCTCCAGGTACTATCAGATGAATTAGGACTATGGAAACTTTCAGAGTTCTGTGTTTATTCTGGTACCTTCCAAAAGTTTTGGAGAACAGCCACAGTCCTTGATTCTGGTCAAGCTTTGGGGGGTTAATAGGAGCTGTATCTCAAAACATTGGAGGCCATCCTTGGTCTATGGTGCTTTGGAAGACTGCTTTCCACTTACAGATTTAGTCTGAATGGTTCAAATGGCAAAAAGGAATTTAGGCAGCCGGCTCAAAATAAATTTTAGAACCTGTTCTACAATTTCACTTAGATGTTATCAAAAAAGTGAGTGATACATAGATTGAATCTCTATAACTGTGTCATCTGCTTATCACCCTCTTTTTCATAGGAGCCACACTTAATTCTTCCATCCAGGAGGGTTATTGCAAACATTATTGAGTAATAGACCTGAGGACAATGAGACACTCGCATTCTGCTCTTGCATGGTATAAAATCCCTTCTCTTTGCCATTCTAGACAATGGAAGCATACTTAAAGGACTAGCTTTTGAAACGATCAGAAGTCTTAATTAGGCCCTTTTAACTAACCTCTCAATTCATTATTTTGTAAGAGAAGAACATCGTTCAATATCTCCAGTAATAAATGGTGGAACAGTTAGAAGAGCAATGCAGTGAAAAAAAAAATGCAAATATACCCAGTGAAATGCAAATACTTGAAAAAACAGATAGAAATGTTGTACAGAACAGTGAGAATATGATGTTGCCTCTGGACTTATTTTTCATCCTCTCATGTAACATTTTAAGGAGGCTCCATGAAATTCTTTCTAAACTAATAGGTGTAATTAAAAAAATAAGTATTTACTATCCCACTTATTACAATCTTCCTGAGCTTGGTCAACTGTGCTAAAAAGCCTGTTTAATACAAGAACCACATGGTAATGTATTACATAAATTTTCCCCTTTCCCTCATGCTGCTGTATAAAAGGCATCTCTTTTCTTCCCTTCTTGAAAATTTAACATTTGTGGCACTACAAGTTGTCAGTACAAAAAAAGAGATGTGGACCATGAGAGTGAAAAAGTGGGAATTGATAGGTTTGTCTTCTACAGTGTAATTCCAAGATACCTCTTCATAAGTTATCACAAATGTACTGATGTAAACAACAACAGAATCATAATTAAAATACCCACTTTAGATGCATGTTAGTTTGCGTCTTTTAAAAAATCTATCTATTTCTATTTTGAAAGGCAGATTTCTCAAACTATTTACCCATTTATGCATGATGTCATAAAGCTTTTTAAAAATAATGTCTCTAAAATTTTCCCTCCCACCCTTCCCACCCCCTATAAGTGCAAATGCCAACTGGGTCAAGAGGCAGAATCTCGGTGCCTGACACTGAGATTACAAGAGGGCTAACTCGACTGGTGGCAGGAGCCAGCTGTTTGCTGACATATCATGATCTGAGGTTACTTCATTCTGCTCAAGAGAAAGACCACAGAGCAGACAATTCTCTGTGCATGCTATCTCTAGCAATACTTGCTCTCAAAGCTACGGAATGCACCTGTTCTAGAGAGTCTTCTCATTGACAAGGTGTCTCCCCTACTTTCCGGTTTGGATGACTTGCTCCTCTGAAATGTATTTCGAAGGCTAGCTGCATTGCGCTGCCTATCAAGTTTGTCACTGATGGAGTAGCTTTTCCGTGTGTGAACATAGAGTAAGTTGGATTCATCTGCAGAATAGCTATTGGCCCGCTCTATTTTAGGAAGTGGAATATTGTTAGACAATGTTCTAGATGTATTGCTGTCTTGAGGTGACAAGGAAACTGTTTTTTTGTCTTTGGCTTCAGTATCCTCATTGTCAGAACTTGGGTGACTTAGTTCTGCTTCCCTCTCTGGATGGCAGCATCCCAAGTCATCCATCTTATCTCCATGAATTCCAGGAAAACTGGACCTTTCTGCAATGGTTTGAGGAGCACTGACACACCTTGTGTCTATGCAGTCAGTAATGCTAGTGTACTCTGCTGTTTTGACTGGTACTCCAAGGCTGCTGAAATAGCTCCGGGAAGGAGAGAACATAAAACTGTGAGATTTTACTATAGGTGCCTCTTCCAAAATAAAGGGGGTTGTAGCCAGGTATCGACTACTTTTAGAACGCTCTAAGGTATGATACAGGGGAGGATCCAGTTCCCAGGGGTTTTGGCTGTCTGTGATTTGTGAATAATCTGAAGAAAACACCCTTGTTTCCATTGAAGAGGGGTCTTCATACTCAATACTTCTGCCTGATATCCTATCACCAGAGGTACCACTGACATAAGCACTACTTGAGAGAACACTGGAAGCTATCTGAGCTTGAAGTGTGGGGTCTCCAGTCCCAAGGATGTTCATTGAACTGTCCAGAGGTTCTATTCCAGACTGCAGCTCGTCCATGGCAGAGACATAAATATCAATGCAAGAGGAAGGCCTCCGAGAATCTGGGGCAATAGACAAAGTGCTTACAGGCACCAAAGAGACTTTTGGTTCTTTTGAGATTGAGTGAGAGCTAGTGGCACGATGAAGGCTCAGAGACCGCTCTTTCAAAATACTTTCAAATTTCTCAAGCCCACCCTTGTCCTTCATATTCACCGCATAGAAAGAGTGACTTCGTAGTCGAGGTGTTAATGTTGGAGAGGTGGGGGACATTGATTCTTCCCCTGTGGGATCAATACTCTCTTGAAGTTTGTAAGTGTTCCCTTCCTGGCTGTTGAAACTACTTTGCCTCACAATGTAAGCTGTGTCAGTACAGTCAGAAGATGTTCGAGACCGTATCTTACTGGCCTCTCCTCTGTCTAGGCCAGTAATTTTGTCTAATGCTGTGGCCATTCGCCCAATCATATCTTCCAGCTGAGCAAGCCGTATATCTACAGTCTGAAGTGAGGCCTTCATGCAGTGCTCTCGTTCATTCACTTCCTCTAATCGCATTGCCATATTCTCTACCCTGCAGGAAAAATAGAGAGAAAAAAATGTTTTGCTAACATCCAATGGGGCAAGCAGGTTAGCTTCATTATTTATAAATAGATTTACTCGATCAGGAAAATTGATGATAATGTAAACATTATTCCATTAATATACTGATAAGCATGCTAAGAAAATTCATCCTCTCTCTTTTTTTTAAATAAACAATTAAAAGAGGTTACTGGATAACTGGAATGATAAATCCACTCACTGCTTGCCCCCCAAATGATTTTATCAACACATCTTTAAACAAGAATTTTCATTTTGCTCCTGATTAAAGATGTGAGATGCATCAATGTCCTGTTTAAAAAAATAAAAATGACACATCTTAAAATATCACATTCTTTTATAGTTCTGTAAAAATGTAAAATATAACACATGACTGATAAAATGCAATACATTATGAATGTTGTTGTAAATGTATAGATTTTACATTTTTAAACATGAGATTTACAGATGTGTGTGTGTGTCGTCTGTGCAAACTCACATACACAAACACACAAATTCTGGTTTCTGGTACATAAATATACCCATTTTATGGGATATATGTGACAAATTCCTTAGTAATTCCCAAATTTATGGAAGGTAGTAATTGATTTATCAAAGTGCTTAACAATTAAACAGGTTTTGGAAAGCTACCAGGAACTTGGAAAAGTGCTTAATTCATGTCAAATGAATTTGATAGTAACAAGTGTTCCCTGGAGAAATAAATTCTAGAGGTGGCATGGCATCCTAAACTCTCAGTTATATTAGAAATATATTCAAATGTAATTATTTTACATACAGTTAGTGTATGCTTTATTAACTCTTCCACAATTTTTTCTCTAGGTTTACATCAGTAAGTCTCTTGCCTGATCTAAAGGACTATGAAATAAGACCTCGATTTGCAATATGGTTTCTAAGGCTCCATTTATAAAAGCAGACTCCACACAACCCAATGTTCTACCCCCCGACCAAAAAAAATTACTCTAAGATTCAGGGATGATTTCCAGTTCAGCAAGAAGAGGAGGAAGGGGGAAAAAGTGGGATATGCACAGGACATGTCAGAGTTCGATAACCAAAGGTCCAATCAGATGCTTCCTTGATACATAGCTTGTAACACTAATGAACCAAGTTTTGCGCTACAGAGACTTTTTTCTGAAGTATTCTGCTGTGCATATGGGGAGGAGATTTGGGTGTCAATTGCACTGGGGTCAGAAAGAATCAGCCCTTTCCTCCCATGTACTTCATGCCTTATCCTCACTGCCCATTTGACTATAATTGGATAAAGAAAGTCTTGACACATAGCAACTGAATCTCTACTATTGTATTCCATTTATTTTTTAGATGTTATATACTTCTGATGATTGAGGTCTCTATATTAGCCTAAATTAACCAATCTGGATTGCACTAAAGGATTTTTACTTGGAAAATACTTTGTTTCATATTTTTTTTTCAATATAATATCATTTTTTTGAAAATTCCAAAATAGGTTTACCATCTTTTTACTACTGCTAATTTGTAGCCAATAAAACATTAAGGAACATTTAAAAAACTGTTTATTTCAAAACAACAAAATGAGAGATTCTAAGATTACAATTTTCAAAATGAACAATATGTACAAAACCAAACCCAAAATTGTGCACCTTTCAGAAGTTACACGGATTCTCTCATCATTGGAAGAGTTAAATCTATCATCTTTCTCTCTGAAATATTCTTCTATGCATTGTTCTTCAAAATCATGAACCTTCTTCAATTCATCATCTGTTATAAAAAGTTCTGTAGAAGACATATAAGGCAACAAACAACAGTTAATAGCTAATTAGTTGTAAGTATAGAGCTGCCTATTTTATAATTTTTACAACTGAATCTTCCCCTTCCATACATAACTTCATACACAGATCATTTTGATCAGTCTCAGATTTGTAGTTCTACCCCTGCTTTCCCAAAGCTGTGCTTTAAGGTACCTGCAGCTCCCAGAATGGCCCAGGGTATCTCACCTGACAGATGTGACTTTTTCAATTTATGTCAGACTTATTCAGATCCAGATAACACTAGCTGTGACATTTGACCCTATTACTTTTTCCCCTTTTGACCCTCTACGATCTCAGACAGGGGTACTGAAAGAGGAAGATGTCTACGTTGTCCCATCACTAAGGACACTGGGAGCAGTATGTATCTGTAGGTACTGGCAGAGCTTCAGGCTGATAGTTATTAGACAAGCAAAAGTGCCTGTAGGCTGGACTTCTTGGTGTTCATTGCCATTCTTATCTTTGTAGAGCCCCGTTTGTCACTGTTTTTCATTATAAGAGTTAGATGTATATGTTTGGATTGGTTGAATTTCTATTCTATCTTTTCTCCAAGTGCTCAAAGCAGCATACAGTGCATTCCCTCCTCCAATTTTTCCCCACTTCAACTATTTTGTGAGGTAAGATGGGTTGAGAGACAATGGCTGGCCCAAGGTCACCTAGTGCCAGCCCTACGAGGTAGACCAGACTAAGAAACCAATGCCATATAGGTCAGGACTATCTTTATTGTAACAGCTATAGTAACAGAATCTTGCAAGTCTGAATGTGCTTTCTCCTCCCTCTGTTTATCTTTGTGTAAACTAGGGAGGAGCTTGTCTAAGACATTTACTCAAGTTAGTTTCTTGGTCTGGGCTCAAAGCCCACTTATCTGACTGATGTCTTGGTAACAGCTCTTCCTCCTGTCCTTCCCTTGATACCCAGTGAGCTTGCACAGTTGAGGGTGGAACCTGGATCTTCGTGAGTCTATACCAATTCCTTAACTACTACACCAGTGTTGGTAGCAATGTAATGAAACAGTAATATACAATGAAATAAAAAATAGCAAAGAAAAGAAATAAGCAAATCTGAAGATACAATGTCTGGGATATTTTTTTTAAAGTAACATTTCAATTGAATTAGAAAACATGTGCCAAAATAGAAATGACTGCATAATGACAAAAGGCAACCCCCCCAAAAAAACCTGAAGGTGGACCAAATTAGGAAAACAAGAAATTTCAAAGTATGAGCATGAACCTAAAGAAGACCATCTTCTTCATGATAACTAGAGACCATTTAGGTGCTCATGGGATGTCAAGGAAATGTCATCCATTCTATGTGTAGCTGCCTTGAAAAATATTTGGAAATTATATCAGGACTAGGATTTGCAACCTGATTTACTTTAGCCACCTATGCACATGCTTTACATACAGAAGATATGAACTTCAATCCCAGTCCTCTTCAGTGCAAAAGATCACAAAGCTGATAATGAGTGAGTCGGGTCTTGCTACATATTTTGTCTATCAAAATATGCAATTAAATATAATCAAAAGTAATGAAATGATTTGGGCTAAAACTGAAGTGAGGGAATGCTGAATGGACTCTTTGAGAGATCTGTATGGCAATATTAATCAGAGAGTGGTGTTAAAATGACTGTTTTAATATTAGTATCCAAGAAACAACTGATGAAAAGGAAATCATAAATGCTGTGAAAAATGATAACACTGAATATATAT